CGGCTAATTAATTTCTTAAATTTGCATTGACCACATAGAATTGGATTCCGAAATACTAGTCAACGTTGAACATTCCAGAAAGGGAATTAAGCATCGGTGAAGCTTGGGGGCTTGTAGGCAATGAAACTGATGCATTGGACTTGACGGTTGTTGTCGAATCCGATGATCCTAATGAAGGCATTAGGGTACTCCTTCTTGCATTCTTGCACTTCCTTCAACACTTGAGCAGAATCGGTGCATCCGAACAATGGAAGCTTCCACATTGTCCAGTACCGTCCATCGTAGTATCCGGGAGTGTTTCCGTGCTCACGGTACACAAATCCGTGCTATAAACAGATGACAAAACCATTCAATACCATTGATAGTCGAGGAGTCACACGGTTATAGTCTATTTCGGGTTTTAAAATCCGGTTATTGACTTATGTTTCTACCAATGAACAGAAATAATAAAGGATGATTAGAGACAAAGGAAAAGTTCGGTGTTTAGTACCTCTAACTCGAATTCAACACAAGGAATCCACTTGTTGCGGAGAAGGTAGTCAACTTCCTTAGCCAATTCGACGTCAGTAAGGTCAGGGAGGTAAGATAGAGTCTCAAACTTCTTCTTTCCAATTGGTGGCCACACCTATAACTCCCAATTCCAATTATTCTAAGTTTTGTTCAATTTCACTAATTACACATGACAAAATACAGTTTTTATAGGACATTACCTTCATGCAGCTAACTCTTCCGCCGTTGCTTGAGATAGAAGTAATGTCGTTGTTGGCCTTGCGGGTGACCGGGAAAGCAGCGGATGACTTCAAGCCGGTGAATGGAGCGACCATGGTGGCTTGAGCTGGGGAGGTAACCATAGCGGCAGAGGAGAGCATAGATGAAGCCATCACTACTTCTTGTTGTTTCTTTTACTTGTTTGTCGATTGATTTGGTCATCTTTATATAGTGAGAACTGCAAGGCAAAAAGCCCTAATGATCAAAGTGGCCATAATTCATGATAACGTCGTTAATTGCCACAGGATTAAGGAAAGGTGTTGAAACCCTTATCAATTCGGACCACTAGGATAAGACCAAGTGGCAGAAAACTCCATAATCTTATCTTTCTCTTGTAAGGGAACGAGTGAATGTGTATGGCTAGTACTGGTCTCCACTTGATCGGTTGCTTTTGGCTCCTTTCTTTTGGGAGGTGAGGTGAGAAATTTAATACTTCTTAGTTCTGTCTAATTGTAAATATCGGTTGAATACTTTTTACATATATATTAAAATGATTAAATTTCTATTATCTTGTATTAACACATTAATATTTTTATTTTCCCATTTGATTATCTTAACTAAAAAGAATATAAGTAAATTCTATTAAAAAAAACTACTTTGAAAATATAAAACTACATTTTGTGTAAAACAAAAATAAAGTCTTGCAACGGTATTTTGTTAACTTTCTCACGTTCTTGTTCTTAAAACATGATTACGCTGAGTAAAAACCATTCACAAAAACCTAACTGGAAAAAAACAAAACGTGAAAAATGATAAATGATCTTTTAATTCATCCCGCACATTTTAAAATTATAATTAAATCAGATAAAAGTCATTTATCTGCTAAATAATACTCTCTTTGTTTCAAATAATACTCTCTCTTTTGAGGTATAATTAATTTCGGATGACAAAAAAAAAAGATAAAAAAAAAGATGAAAGCACAAAGTTTAAGAAATTAACTAATCTTGAGTTTTTAACATTAAAACAAAAATTAATATCTATTAAAAATAATTTAATCAGTGATATAATTTACTGCATAATGTAAATAGTCAATAATCTATTAAATTTAATGTTTTACATAGAAACTTGTATTTTTTCTTCAAAGCATTATATATTGTGAAACAAAAAAAAAGGTCCAAAACATCCTATAATATGAAACAAGCAATTTTTTTGCCTTTTTTTAAAAAAAAATTGTTCAGCGTAAAATTGTTTTTGTTTTATATATATATACATTGATTTCGTTATTTCATAATTCAATTATTTCTCTATTCATCTTACAACGAGTACATGCTAACGAAAATATTGATAATAGAAAGAAAAAAATATGTCACTAATTATGTCTTATGCAGTATAAGAGAGTTAATGGTCATGCAAAGTTTCAAACTAAGAAGAGGAAGTTTAGTTGAGTTTATATCATTCTTATTAAAATTAGGGCTGCCTATAGCGTTACAACTATACTATATATATCGTTTCAACTCCTATCCACATGTACTTTCGACATCTGCCCAACTCTCTATAATTACGATTAAAAATAGTTCAAATTGCAGTAAAAAAATATGTGTTTATATTAATCCGAGGTTGACCCGACAAAACAAATGAACACGAGTCAAACCCTTATGGTGAAAGAAGTCTTCGAAGCTGGTCGGATCTGACTCGGGTTGGCCTACAGTAAACGCGATTTGAACGATTTTTAATCGCAATTATAGAGAGTTCTTGATTTTGGTTAATTATGGAGAATTTAATAGTTTAGGTGGAATTAGGAAGTTTAAAACAAGTATAAGGTGAATTGGGCAGAGGTCGAAAGTACAGGTGGATAGGAGTTGAAACGCTATAGTATAGGTGTAACGCTATAGGCAGCCCTTAAAATTATAATGTATGTTAATCTGTTTTTAAACTGGGACATGTATGTACAATTACTAAAATTTATAAACACATAATGCATATTGTTTAGAAAACGATCCAATGCTATAGGAACCCATGCTACCGTTCCTTTCGGAGCACCACACCATTGCACGTACGGCCCACTTAAAATGTGGCACCTCAAGATGATTTCCACCATGTCAACTTAAGCATGGAAGACATGACAGATTGTGGGGAATTTTCATAGCACACTTCAATGGACGGTGTGGAACCGAGGCAAGAACTCTCCCTAAGGCCACAGGAAGAAGCTATGGTCATGGATCCACAATACCAACTTAAAGCTCACAAATTTCCCGTGAGCAGAAGCGCGTACAAGGTACAAAATAGCCAAAACCGTTCAAGAAAATAGTGCGGAGGTAGTCAACATTGCTCCACCCACAGCAAAATCAAATAAATCTTTTTTTCGAAAGCGAGATCGTCCTAGCCCATCCATCTAAGTCACAAGGTACTGGCCCTTTCGAGATTTGATTTATTGAGGCATCTTTGTTATGATTTCATGTGCAAAGTTTTTCCAAAAAGGTATCTAAAAAGGTCTCTCTTCTATTATAGGTTAGTCTAGAGAATCAAAAGCAAAAATTAGGAGGGAAATGTAAAGGAAATAAAATGTTGCTTAAAAGAGCTAAATCGAAGATGAAAGAGTTCAAAGTGATAAGATCAAAAATGAAATGATATGAATAGATATAATTATAGAGGAAATGATAGAAAATAAACCTTCAACTTTTTCACTTTTCGCAAAACAATTGCTCAACGTTTAAGTTGGCTAGATAATAGTTACTTAAATTTACATTGACCATACAAAATTGTTCCGGATAGTCAACATTGAATATTCCAGAAAGGATTTAATTAAGAATCAGTGAAGCTTGGGGGCTTGTAGGCAATGAAACTGATGCACTGGACTTGACGGTTGTTGTCAAATCCGATGATCCTAATGAAGGCGTTAGGGTACTCCTTCTTGCACTCTTGCACTTCCTTCAACACTTGAGCGGAGTCGGTGCATCCGAACAATGGAAGCTTCCACATTGTCCAGTACCGTCCATCGTAGTATCCAGGTGTGTTTCCATGCTCACGGTACACAAATCCATGCTATAAATGAATACGAAATCCATTCAATGAACAATGATTAGAGACAAACGAAAATAAGCTTATTGACTTTGGTTTTTAGCTATGTAAGAAAATAATATATAATGATTAGAGACAAACGAAAGGTCCAGTGTTTATTACCTCTAACTCGAATTCAACACAAGGAATCCACTTGTTGCGGAGAAGGTAGTCAACTTCCTTAGCCAATTCGACGTCAGTAAGGTCAGGGAGGTAAGATAGAGTCTCAAACTTCTTCTTTCCAATTGGTGGCCACACCTATAACTCCCAATTCCAATTATTCTAAGTTTTGTTCAATTTCACTAATTACACATGACAAAATACAGTTTTTATAGGACATTACCTTCATGCAGCTAACTCTTCCGCCGTTGCTTGAGATAGAAGTAATGTCGTTGTTGGCCTTGCGGGTGACGGGGAAAGTAGCGGATGACTTCAAGCCGGTGAATGGAGCGACCATGGTGGCTTGAGCTGGGGAGGTAACCACAGCGGCAGAGGAGAGCATAGAGGAAGCCATCACAACTTCTTCTTCTTTTGCTCTTTTCTCTTACTTAATTGTTTTTCTATTGGTCTGGTCACCTATATATAGTGTGAACCTCAAGAGGCAAAAAGCCCTAATGATCAAAGGGTCCAGGTTCATGATAACGTCGTTAGCTGGCCTGCCACAGGATTAAGGAAAGGTGTTGACACCCTTATCTTATCTTTCTTTTGTGATGAAACGAGTGATTGTGTTTGGTTTACTAGTCTCCACTTGATCGGTTGCTTTTGGCTCCTTTCTTTTGGAAGAAAAGAAATCAGATGCATGACCTTAATTCGGTTTACCTTAATTCGGTTAATAAGTTCACACTTAGTAAATACTATAACAAGAATATCTATAAACAGAGTCCTGACTCATAATGCATATCATATATAATGTTTTTGGACCTTTTATTTATCTTGTATGTATAAATTTTTTAAATTTGGTTTACCTTAATTCGGTTAATAAGTTCACACTTAGTAAATACTATAACAAGAATATCTATAAACAGAGTCATGACTCATAATGCATATCATAATGTCAAAGCTGAACGTTGAGATAAATTTATCAAAATAGGAAAACCGATAAGGGCAAAAATAAAATAGCAAAAGCGATCAATACATTAGTCAAAACAAACATGTTAAAAAATAGGAAAGACCAAAAATGAAAAGATACACTTGTATAAAAAGAAATTGTCCCTATTGATTATCTGCAGATTACTTCAATAAAAAAATAATAGAAGAAGGCCAATTCGAACAACGAACGCAATGCATAGTCTCTCGTGGTTTCTGCTCGTCATTGGATTGTCCGTAGGGTTGAGTAACGCAAAGTGGAATGAGAAAAACGCTGTCTTCTTTAAGAATTCTCTTGGTCGGAACAAAGTCTTGAAAGTAAATTGCATATCAAATGACGACAATCTAGGCTTCCACTTTTTGCGTCCTGGAGAAACCTACGATTTTAGTTTCCACGATAGTCTTTTCAAATCAGAATTCTATTGTGACCTATGGCAAGGCCCTGATTTCAAGTTGCATGCATCATTTATGGCATATGAAGGTGGTGGTTTCATAGTTCATTATGGTAAAAAGAACTTTTGGGATGCTAGAGAAGACGGGATCTATTTCACCCATGGCCAAAAAATGCCCAAGTTAGAGTATAAGTGGAAATAATAATTAACCACTCAAAAAAAGATGGAATTTAACTCATCTTTTTGTTTTATTTAGGTGGGCTGCCTGTAGCAATACATCCTTACTATAGCCGTTCAATTCATATTGTATATCTTGCTCTTTCAACTTTTATATGTAAATGTATCTTATTATATTCCCTCCGTTTCAAAATGTAAGATATTTTGACATTTTTTTTTTTCAAAATGTAAGACGTTTTGTTATCCCAATGTAAAATAATAATAAAAGAATTCAAAAGCAATTGTGTGTTTTTATTAAATACATGTAGTAACATGTTCTTTGCTTTTATTAAATGCTTTAAAAAGAAAAAGGAATATTTTGATTAAAAATACTCTTTCCGTTTTATATTACTTGTCGTTCTAGGTTATTTCACACAAATTAAAAAAAAATTAAAGTTATTATTTTACCTCTAATTAATACATTATTTCGTTTGATATAAGTAATTAATAATCTTAAGAAGTAGGGTTAAAACTGAAAATTCAATCATAAATTTGCATTGTAAATATAAAACGACAAGTAATATGAAACAAAATGTTAACTCTAAAACGACAAGTAAAACGAAACAAAAGAAGTATAGTTTTTATTAAGTTACGTGCAAAACCTTAAAACGTTTTACATTTTGAAACCGATGGAGAATTAATAATAAACTTTGTGGGTATGTAAATTTTTCAATACGAAAACTTCCAAGACTTATGTCCTAACCTAAACTAATATTAATTTGCACCTATATGCATGCATGATTATGTAAGAAGACATATAATGATAAAATGATTAGAAATTTTCACGTTTAGGGAAAAAATGACTTATCTCTCATCATTTGACAAAATGAATTTGGGCTTTCACCATTTAGCAATTAAGTCAATTTCAGACAAAAATGCTCCTGTCAACAAAAAAAATGTATAGCAGAAGACAGTGATTAGTTAGCTATAGTGTTCGAGCAAAAAAAATAAAAATAAAAAATAAAAAAAACATAATTATTTTCTTCTCCACATTTTCTCTTGTTTTCATATTATTTCTATTTTCACTGTTATAATTATTTTTTATTTTTGTACATTGATATCGGGTCCATATTTCAAATTTTTAAAAGGTATATTATGAAATGTTAGTCAAATTAACCAAGTTTATTAATATTGGAGTCCAAGTGTAAACATGTTTGTGTTATTTTATCCAATCCGTTAAGGATAATGTGAATAGTGTGTCTGATGGAGGGCTGATGAAACTAACCTGGTTCGGGGGTGAAAACGCAACAAAATCCAGATTGAAGGCTCCAAATGTGGATGAAAACAATGAGAAAGTAGATGAGAAAAATAAAATAGAGGACAATAAAGAGGATAGAGAAAAAGAGGATGAGAGCGACGATGAGGAGAAGGAGGACGATGAAGATGACGATGGACAACAATTAGTCAAGTAGGAGAACGTCCTGCAACCGACTATAAACGGCAGTAATGGTACTAAAGAAGTTTACATTACAACAAGTAGATTTTTTTTTTTGTTGAAAAATATGGGATGGGACATGTCGGGGATATTCGTGGCACAACCGACTGTGAGGCAAACATGAAAATTCAGTTTATTAATATAAATGTGTATGTATACTAATGAACATGTACGTAAAAATCATCAATCATTTTGGAAAGAATTGTGACATTCAACTAGGATCAACTTGGTTAATTTGACTAGCATTTCATAATATACCTTGAAGGCATTCGAAGTATGGAATGTTACACCATATCCAGTCCTTTTAAGAATCTTTGCAACACTTGGTATCTATGATGGTGCACACGGCGAGTTAGCCAAATGCTAATATATTTAGTACAGTATAAATGATATTTCTATTTTGATGTTGTTCTTTCTCTGTAATTGTTATTTTAAAATTTTTAATGAATTTTATGTTACACGGTATTATTAATCTATACTATTAATTGGGAAGCATTGGATAATAAATAACCTTATCAAAGGTAAAAAATTACAAAAAATGCCATTACAAATATTTGATTCTACGACTAAAAAAAAGATTTAGACGAGGGGTATAATGGACAATAGGCTCGAACTGGGTCGCGGATCTTGGATCCTTTAGTCGGATCATCATTCGGATAAACACGCGGATCTCGGGTCTACACTCGGTAAAACACGCGGATCCTAGCAGACCCGATTTGTGCAATTTTTTAGTGGTCCTATTGGGCTTACAATCAATAGGCTCGATATTAAGCTCTTGCATTTATGATCCGGATCTACAGTAATTAAAGAAAATAATAATTAGATTCATTACCTTTAAATATATTACCATAACAAGAAAAGCTTAAAATTCGGATTAGAATAATATCACTTCTCTTATATTTCTATAACAATCCAAACCCATATATTCCGATGATTAAAAGAAAATTTATTTCTTTATATTCAATTTCATTTATGAGTTTTTACCAGAAATAACAAAATCCATTTATTGAAATATTCATTTATGAGTTTTATCAAAAATAAAAGTAAATATATATGAGTCTATATATTCATATAGGAACAAATCAAGCATATTCCTTAGCTATTCTTAATCGAGAATATGCTAGCAATTAAAGTTTCAAAAAATTAGATTCAATTGCTTCAAAATCATTCCATAACAAGTAAAACTATAAATTCAAATTTTAAAAAATCAGTTCACGGATTTTTCTATACAAACCCAATCCCACATATTCCCTATATTGGAAGAAAACTAATTCATTGATATTCGATTTCATTTATTAGTTTTTATTTAAAATAACAAATTCTCTTCAAATCCATATTCAGTTGTAATTTCTACCCAAAAAAATCATAATAGCTATACAAAAAATTGCCACAAATCAAGCATATACCTTAAATATTCTTATTCGAAATTATCCTCTTTGGGGGTAATTCTCTAAAACCTAAGAAAATGCTAGGCGACTTTGGATTACTATAAATATAGGGTAAAGAATTCTATTGAACTCACCTTTTAAAGCTTTCATCTATTCTCTTCACGTTAAAGCTTGGGATCACCAACCTTGCTGACATCAAACCTTTCACATGGCCAACTTTATGTTGCAATCTCTAGGGTAACTTCTAAGAAAGGACAAAAAATCCTCATACTGGACAAAGAAGGAAACCCACAGAAAGCAACGATGAATGTGGTGTTCAAAGAAGATTTTCAAAACATATAACAATTTGCTTTGCAAGCAACATGATATGCAAGAGGTAACAATCTATACTAATAATCAGCAAGGATTGAATATTTTTAGAAATATGCTATCCTATAATAATCATTTCTTTTATATGTTTAACAGGGAAAAGCTAGAATCTAAAGGCATTTGGAAAGTATTGTGGTTACTGAAATCATTTTCTAGATAAGAAATAATGTTGTTTTGAATCAACTATCTGTTCTTTTCATCTTCTCTTTTTTCCAGAGTATCAAAATCCAATTCAAAAGTTTGCTTTACTAACTTCATATTAAGCAATATGAAGTTATATAATTCATATACAGAAGCAGTTACGATGATTAAGTATCATCAAACAATATAAGAAAGCAATTTATTGCTAATGAAAACTTTAGAAAACAATATACCAATCACGAGACTCATTTTAACAAAGATTGACAAATCAATGTTTTCTATCACAATTCTACTCATTCAAAAGTTTAACAGCAACTAAATATTCGTAAGACCTAAAAAAAGTATGCAATCCTTATCATCTAAATAACCTTAACATTGCTTCAAGCTTTTTGAATAGCTCCAAAGACAACATCATTAGAAGCCGCACAAAGTGTTCCAATTATACTCAGACATGATGATTAGCTTGTATACATGTAACCTATTAAAGCCTCGAATTTACTAAATCAGTTCTACTTACTGAATTTTACAGACTGAATAGCCACAAAGCCTCACTAACCTTTTGCATATATACTTCCATATTTCTGATTTGCTACAAAGATGCCATAAATACAGCCTCCTCCAAAAGAATTAAACACAGAGATGATCTTTGGCCTGTATAAATTGATCTTTGTATCATCATGACCCCGAATTTATAAACAGATCTTATAAACTCATAATCGTATCAGAAAACTAATCTGGGAAATCATTTTCTTTTGCCAACAAAATCACCTTCAGACAAAACTGAAATATTTAGGAAGCAAAATTAATTATAACTCTTCTCATGTAACAAAATTGACTGTTAAAATCTATACACTATCCAATTACAAAATGTATTAACTCTATTCATTGTAGATTTATAATAAGAGATTTGTTTTAAAACTAACCAATCTAAAAATAACCTCTCACGATTTGAGAATTGTTGATAATCATAATTGAAATCACAATTTAGATACCAAATTAGCAATCCTAATCCATATAAGTTCGGGTTCTTGACAATCAATGCTCAAGAGCTCTGTTCAAACAAAAAATTTCAAAGATTGGAATTTTAATCGAAACACTTGGAAAAGATAAAGTCAAAATTTGAAACAATAATAAGCTTACCTCTTTGTAGAATTCCGGTGTTGCGATTCACAGATGATAAACGAAGACATGGTATCTTGATTATCGGACAATTTTGCGAATAATTCTTATTACGAACAACCGTCTGCTTTTTTTGGGTGTGTTTTAGTGAAGACGATAAGAAAAGAACTGTTCTAGAGTTATCTGTTATGGAAAAAAAAGACATTGATCTATTCAATAAAAAAAAATCAGACGTATATCTGAAACGATCTCAAGACAATTTCGTGGGTTTCAGCCCAAAAGAATATTGTTATCTGATTCATTAATGGGCTCATAAATATTTCGTTGGGTATAATACCCTTTTAATGACAATTGGTATCTACTATTTTTTGTTGGAGCAAAACAATTGTTTGGCATTTAATTAAAATTACATATTCTATGAACAATCATAAATACTACTATTATAACTAAGTATACACCAATATTCTGCGACTGTCCAAATTATTAATCAATCACTAAAACCAATATATTAATTGTCTAAAACAACTATACTTATCTTTCTTTTTTTGGTATGAGTTATACTAATCTTTCTATTCAAAATTTATATTATAACAAACAGAAAATAAATTTGTGTACCGAAGTTTATTAAAAACACAAAATATAATTTCCCCATTAAATTTATAATTTTATGAAATATATACAATTATCTAATACACTACAAAAAGGAGAAAAAGATTGTTAAATAATACTAAACAAAACGAAATTATATATATATATATATATATATTTTTTTTGACGTCTTTGAATCGACAAGACCCGATCCATAGCCAATCTCTACTACGCGGGGTAACACGACTTAGTGGAGTCGAATTCCGGTGGAGAAGGCGGAGTCAGATGGACTTAACCACTTGACTAAAGGCACATCCCCCGAAATTATATATTTTATAAAACACATTTCGTAAAATATAAAATCCCGCACGTACGTGCGGGTCCGGATCTAGTGGAGAATAAAACAGATTCTAAAGTAAACCCGTAAACGTACACGATAATATTGAGATACACGTACACGACCGCTCCAAATAGTTACATCCTAAAAATGCCTAAATCACATGTCTTTTACTACATACGTACACAACAATATTTACTGGAACGTAATGGTACAACATTAAAGTGGTTGTAATAAATCTCTAACCACTATCTTCGTATAAATTAACATTTAAATTATTTGACTTCAAAATCAAGCTATTTTGTCAGTTATATGTATATCTCAATTCATATCATGAATATATAAACCATTCATAGACTCTACAATGTTGTTAGACATGGCTTTGTATCAATATCCTCACAATATGTTCTTGTCTAATGCTCATGTCTAATATCCTTTAATTATTTTGTGCATCATGATTTTGACTTTTTAATTCAAAATATTTGATAAATTCCTCATTTTGTATGTTTTTGCCACTAAAAAAATCGTTTGATTGCATGATAAACTTATAGTATCATTTGTGAAAAAATAATAATTAAACACACTCTCAACATAAAATGCTTTTCCTATTGTACTATTCTACTTCTGTCTTATCAGTCGAACATTGACTAAATTATCGTAGATTGGAACATCATCAATATTGAGCATCTCTACCTCACCACTTAGCAATATAGAAAAGTCATTATACACTTCATAAAAATCATTTATTATCAATAAGGTAAAACCGATCTTCTAATACTAAATTGCACACCATTACCATTCATCTCACATCTACCAAGCCCATTTGTATTCGTGTACGTAAAACATTCACCTTTACATACTTCATCAAGTATATATATAGTTAGTAGTGTACGTACATTCTTCCAAAAATCATGTCTTACCTTCCGGTTAGGGCTCACAAATGGTTGAATGTCGCAATTTTTTTCAAAATGATCGATGTTTTTTCCATCACGTACACGTTCATTAGTATAAGTACACGTTTCTATTAAAACACTGAATTTTCATTTTGGTCTCAGTTCTTATTTTTTCGAATAGGTTCGGGTTCAATTCTTATTTTTCGAATATGTTCGGTTTGATTTTTTGGTTTTAGGTATTGTTTTAGGTGTAGTTCGTACATGGTTTAAATGTTTTGTTTTTATGTTCAAAAAATATTTTAAACGTAAATATACAAATTATTTAGATGATTATGTACATATATGCACATAATTTACTACCGTGTACGTACACATGAGTACATGGTATTGTTAGTCTCGAATTGTCTTAAACAACATGATTAAAATTAAGAAATAAATTATTATTCAAAGTTATAAAAAAATGAAAATGGGTCTTAAAAGATAGAAATTTTTTTTAATTAATAGTATAAAAATAATAAATATTTATAAAATTGAAAAGAGACAAAAAAAATGTGAAAACAAAAGAAGGTGAAAAATAATAATAATCTTATTTATTATATATTTTTCATTTTTACACTGTAGCTAACGAGATTGTACTATACATATTGTGTGTACTGTAGCTAACGAGATACAGTGTATGTAACCAAACCGCATAACTAATGCATTCACTGTGATTGTACACTGGTTTCGTTGGGAAGGCAATTTTTTCTGAAGATGACATAAGCTCTCTTTCATTGCCAAAACGTGAGACAAAAACATACTCAACTGTCCTCGCCCATAAATAACCCATGAAATGATCACACAATCGTGTTGCTTTCCCTTTCAAATGCTTCTATCTCTTTTTTCTTTTCTAGCTTTTATACATCATATAGCACATCAAATTTTCGTTTAAAATTATGGACTGATTTATTTATTCGATAAAAAATGATCAAATGAAGTGTATATAACTAATTTTTTACCAAAAAATTGAAGTATATATGGGCTTCAGTATTATAAATTGACTGGTGTGCTAAATTTTTGAAACAAAGTTCTGCATATGATTACCTATAACGTGAGATGAGATCATCGTCCATCGAGATGATGTAAGTGCTGATTGACTTAAGCTTTAAACTCAAACCCCTTGACAATTTTTGGAGTAGTTCATGTCACTATGAAGCACTTGTGATTAAACTCTAGTATTATATATGCCAAAAAGAATTATTTTGCAATGGCCTGCCAAGTATAGAACCATTATCTTTTCAGTTTACGTAAACTAATAACTCTAATCCCTAGTTGTACCAGTTACCACAACTTAGTTGTACCCGAATATTCCCGAATATTCCCTAGTTGTACCAGTTACAACCCGAATAAAAGGATTCGAATCCTGGGGGCGCGCGCGTGCGCATGGAGCTCGCAACCACTGAGCTATTGTGTTTTTCGTTGAACATTTACCGATTTAATTGTATTTAACCTTTATCACCCGAAATCAACCCTCATTAAGGGTAATTTTGTCTTTCTACCATTGAGGAGTATTTGAGACAAAATTTAGAGCTTGAGGAGCCCCTGAGAATTTGTTCCTATAAATATATATGCCTTCCGTCTATTATTTTTTTTAGTTAGTGAAAATCGCCATGTAATTACAACTAATTCATTTTCACTTAAATGATCAAATTTTCTTTAACCAAAAAAAATGGGTTGCACTTGCAGCTTACAAGCAATATATATTGTGTTTACCTCTTCATAACTCATAAGTGCTCTTTTTGGGTAAATTTCTTTACAAAGCGTTCAAGAACAATTTCAATATTGCTAATTATGAGATATATGGCAACAATTGATCAAGCCATTGTTTTATAAGAATACTAGATGTTTCGCCTAACCACTCGATGCCTATAAATGGGAGTGAAAGTCTTAATTGGAAAATCAAGGCTTTCACATAAACAGAGTCACATGACTCGTAATGCATATCACTAATGTCAAAGTTGAACGTTGCAATATATCTATCAAAAGCATTAATCCTTTAAATAGTTGTGGAACAGCAAAATCGATAAGAGCAGAAAGAAAACAGCAAAAGCGATCAACAGATTCGTATTAGTCAAAACAAACATGTTTAAAAATAGGAATGACCAAAAACTAACGAATAACCATGTAATACAGTACTTGTATAAAAGGACACTGTCCCTCTTCATTATCTACAGATTAATTACTTCTAAATTTAAAAGAAGTATAGAAGGAAGGCCAAATTCAGGCAGTCAACAATGAATCGTCTCTCTTGTTTTCTACTCGTTATTGGATTGTGTGTAGGATTGAGTAACGCAGATTTCAAATGGAATGAGAAAAACTCTGTATACTTCAAGAGTTCCCTTGGTCGAAACAATGTCTTGAAGATTCATTGCACATCAAACGACGACAATCTAGGCTTCCATTTTTTGCGCCCTGGACAAACCTATGATTTTAGTTTCCATGATAGTGTTGTGAGATCAGAATTTTTTTGTGATTTATGGCAAGGGCCTAATTTCAAGTTTCATGCATCGTTTATGGCATATGAAGGTAGTGGTCTCATAGTTCATTATGGTAAAAAGAACTTTTGGGATGCTAGAGAAGATGGAATCTATTTCACTCATGGCAAAGAAATGCCCAAGTTAGAGTATAAGTGGAAATAATAATTAACCACTCAATGGATGATGGAATCTAGATAATCTTTGTTTTACTTTTAACAAAAACTTATTGTTCTTGTGTATTATTGTGGAAGGAAAAACCTTTGAAATAAAATTATCGAAAGTAATGTGAATTTTTCACTACGAAAACTTTCAAGACTTATGTCCTCACCTAAACTAATATTTGTACTTACATGATTAATGAATAATGTAAATTAAATATCTCCAAACACCGAATTGAGAAAAGATACGAATTTTATTGAGGTAACGATAATATAAACGAATTATAGCAACATTAATTAAAGATATAATTTAAATAATATAAATCATGAAGGCATGATATGATATATTTTTCCTTAATTCAATAAATCGGGCGTAAGTTCTTTCGGACAACAAAAATTTATAAATCTCATGATACAACAGATCACGAACTAATACCCGAGCACACGAGTAATAGACTCAAGCAAACTTGATCTACGATATACTTTTGAATTAAACTAAAGAACTTACTCTTGGACAAAGCTAGAGAGAGAGATGATTTTAGAATTTATGAGTGTTTTGTATTTGAGAACTTGTGAAATAATAAGAGGCGAGTTTCTTTTTATATAGTAGAAGGAGGTAGGTTTCGAGAAAATATTTTCAGAATATTCCACAAGTTACTTGAAGTGAAACTCAAGTTACTTAGAATGAATTCAAAATTTTTACTAAAGAAAATAAATAAATAACTTGTTTGAAAAATTGTCGTTTCTCATTTTTTCTGTAACTTTTCTGTAAATCGCATAAACAATTTTTAGAAGATTTTGAAATCGTAAAAAAAATTCAAAAAATTCTCAGTCCGTCTAAAGCGATAAGGTGAAAGCGGATTTATTAGGAGTGCAAAAACTGAGAAATAGTTTTAGAACTGATAGTGTTTTGTGAAATAATGAGAGGCAAGCATCTCTTTATATAGTAGAATGAAGTTGGTTTCAAAAAAATATAACGACAATTATTAAAATATACCAAAAAATATAGTAAAATTAAAAAAGTATACCAAATATTTAAAATTAAATAACTAGGTTTTTTCTCTTTTCAAGAAACTCCTTGTTAAATTCGAAGAAGATTTTTGTTTTCTTTAATTTAACTACAAAATAAGAACTTAGAGTTTTTTTTTTTTAAGATCTTCATTAAACAAAAAAACACAAAAAAAAAAGAAAAAAAAAAGTAAAAATCCCTTGATCATCGTCGTAAACTGTTTTTGCTATCTCTCTGCAAATTTTACTCTCTCGAGCAATCTTCATAATCCCCATTAAATCTCAGTTCCTTTCATGAACCCTAACTTTCGTCATTCACTTTCCCATCCAAAAAATTGTAATTTCACTTTGTTCTATCTCTAATTGCATCTAACGGTTATATATGATTTGATTCCTCCCTCTTTCTCGGGCGAATTTCGTTGTCTCAGATTCACATACTTTAAACAAGTGGATCCGTAAATTACTTGGAATAAACCCCAAGTCTTTACTAAAAAAAGAAATAATAACTTGTTTGAAAAATCCTCGTTTCTCTTTTTGTCTTTAACTTGTTTGTTTGTCTGGTCTTGTCTCACCTAACACCTCTTTAATGAACCTTATAATGTATATATCGGTGTGTGTATTTGGGGCAAAGCCCTTCCCAGAACATGTTCTCCCTTCTCCCATGTCAATTTCCGTCTGGTTCATGAAAGCCCATTGTTTTGGAAGACCCATTTTTTTTTTGTGTTAGCCAAACCCAACAACATTAAGGATTTAAAGAAGATTTCAACCCTCATTGGACAAATTTGGAAACGATTTTCTTACTCCTCACCTTTTTTATCAATCTAATTATTGTTTTTTCTCACCATTGAATATGTGTTACTCCATTTAAAAAATGGTGCTTCCCATAAAATGAATGATGTATTTATGATGTTTAGATAAGGATTAGTGTTAATATATCTTGGTTTCTACATATTAAACGTGTTACTTGTCTATTAATTAACTCTTTTGCATATAACCCGAAAAATTATCTAGTTGGTTTTATATATGTGACATAGTTAGACGTATCAATATATCATTTATTTATTTAAAACAGTTGTAATACGATTGTCTATGAATAAAAAAAAAGGAAAAAAATCGAAAATGAAATTTCGAAAGGAAAACAACTTGTAAAAGCGGATCATCTGGCACAAAAATTCGTACAGAACCGCTTCATATCACATTTGTAAACAACATTCCCCAGGAATGGCTCTTTTGAGCTCTGATTAATTTCGGATGACAAAAAAAAAGAAGGGAAAACAACTTGTAGTACTACGAGTTTTATGTATTAAGTTATAACCTAAAACCTCTGTCAAAAATATATTATTAAATATTTCTCATAATAGGAAACACAATTGATATATGTCAATATTATAACACCCTGGTTTCAGGAATATGGTGGTACATGTGGAGAGATTTAAAAGAATTGATTTGGCCACCTATGTCACCAAAGTGCACTTATCTTTTCGGTCAATTGTCCTGAGAGAACTCCATAGTTAAGCGTGCTTGGGTTGAAGTAGTTTCAGGATGGATGACCTTCTAGGAAGTGATTGTCGGAACTGTGTGAGTGAGAACAAAACACATGAAAAGATCATGTGGTGATTTGGGGGATCGGTAAGTCTTTAAAGCCTCCCGGACGTAGCGGACCGGTCGTCGGACAGTGGTGGGCCTATGGGCCCAAGAGAGGATGTAGGGCCCACTGGTAGGGATGGTCGGGGCGTTGAAAATGGTATCAGAGACGAACCCAGACGAGTGTGGAGTCAAGAGGACTCACACCGCCCGGGGTGACGGTCTTGGTGCGCAACGTGGACGTTGCGATCTGTTAGTGGGGTGAATTGTAACACCCCGATTTCAGGAATATAGTGGTGTATGCGGAGAGGTTTAAAAGAATTTATTTAGCCACCTATATCACCAAAGTGCACTTATCTTTTCGGTCAACTGTCCTGAGAGAACTCCACAGTTAAGTGTGTTTGGGTTGGAGTAGTTTCAGGATGGGTGTCCATCCAGGAAGTGATTGTCGGAACTGTGTGAGTGAGGACAAAACAGAAGAAAAGATCATGTGGTGATTTTTAGGATCGGTAAACAAGTCTTTAAAACCTCCCAGACGTGGCGGCCCGACCGTCGAACAGAGGTGGATCTATGGGCCCGAGAGAGAATGTGGGACCCACTGTATAAAGAAACAATAGTATTTTCACATTTCCACCAAATCTTCTATGATCCCAAAGATTTTTTTTATCTTTTGATAGTGGAGGGATCTTTGTTTATCATCGTCAAACAAGATACAGTATCACTATTTAATTTAGATACACATGCGTGTGCATGTTTCATATAATAATTAAATATTTTCTAAATTTAAGAGTAAACATATATACTCTCATATGATTACATGTCATAGAAATCTAATTTATTATTCCGAATCTCACAACAACAAAAAACTGATTTGCATAGGAATGAATCGATTGATTGCGTTAAGGAAAAATATGATCAAAAGATTTCTTTAATATGTATTTTGATCGAGCGTATCTAAAATAATGACGATATGTTTTTGACTTGTCAATTCAGAAAAATGTACCAATGAATTTTTCTATGACCCATTCGAGCATAATATTCATTGTCAAAAAGTATATTATTAATATTATTTCTCTTAAAAAAATGTTTATTATATTTTTATACATACATTAAATTTTAATCCGCGGTACACCACGGGATGATTTATTTTCAAAGTTAGTATAAAACTATTTTGTAAATTATATCTCCTTATAACATATTTATTTATATTATAGTTTGCAATTGTTATTAAGTAACGATATACCATGAATCCACGAGACAATTGTTAATAAACTGAGGATTTAACCCGTATTAAAGCGGCATGTTAATGATATTTATAAATATTGATTCAAATTCGTCCGCCATATAAACTCGTTCCGAAATATAACCCGTTCCGTAATTTTTTAACCCGTCCCGTGATTTGTTTTTATTTTAAAATTTAATGATTTTTTATTATATATAAAAGTTTACAAATCATATCATTCTCTAAGTCATTTATATTTTAATAAGCTGAATATTTAATCTGTATTAAAGCGGCATGTTAATGATATTTTAAAATTTTATAAATATTGATTTAAACTCGTCTACCATATAACTTCGTTCCGAAATATAACATGTCATGTAACTTCTTAACCCGTCTCGTGATTTGTTTTCTAAAAGTAGTAATTTTTAAAATTTAACGATTATTTATTAATATATAAAAATTTATAAATCATATCATTTTCTAAATCATTTATATTTTAATAAAATAAAGATTTAATCAGTATTAAAGCGGCATGTTAATGATATTTTAAAATTTTATAAATATTGATTCAAACTCGTCCACCATATAACTTCGTTCCGAAATATAACCCATCCTGTAACTTCTTAACCCGTCCCTTGATTTGTTTTCTAAAAGTAATAATTTTTTTAATTTAACGATTATTTATTATATATAAAAGTTTGCAAATTGTATCATTTTCTAAGATATTTATATTTTAATCTTTTATTATTGTTGATTCAAAAACCCGTCCCGCCAAATCCGTCCGGCCAAAAAACTCATTTATTTTATTAATGTTGATCTTATTTATGATATGATTCAGAATCATTGTCTAAATATTTTAATCGATGTAAAACGTTGAACATACATTTTCGTCAATTGGATAATATATGTCCGTTTTTAAAATTTTGAATCACAGTATATGCAGAAAAAAAAATGATTTTTTTTTACTTTATGTATTATATGATGATTCAAAACATTTAAAAACAAATCAAACAAAGATGATAGGAGAATAATAATTCTAAATCCTAATCAAATCTTCTAAATATCTAAATTATTAAATATGGAATATCCGGTGTATGAGTTGGGTTAAATATAATCCGACCCAACAAACTTTTTATTACCAAAATTTGTAAATGGGTCAGGTATCCAAAGTATCCGAGAATAATTTTACCCACCCGACTCAAAAGTGACTGCAAAAATACTAGTATAGATATTAAGAAATTATTTAGTTTTTTGTTCTACAATAATTTTTTTTAATTATCTACATAAATACTATTCAACCAATAATAAATAAAATCTATATATACATTTTTGGAGACATTTTTGAAATAAATCCTGGAGTTGGCACTTATTTACAATGTAATGCCATTGACATTAATTTTTAAGATTTGTTTTTTAATTAAATATATGTAAGATTAGGCGGAAAATAATCGGATTAGGCGGGAATTAATCGGATTAGGCGGAGAGTAATCGGGTGACTGATTTTTTTAAGGGATTAGTCATTAATCAAGGCGGAGAGGGTGGGCCTAGCGATTAAGCGGAGAGTAATCGGGTTAGGCGGGGATTTTTAGAACATGGCCATTTATTACCCTATATTATCAACACAAAATCGCCCAAACAAATATTCATACCAATGGAAATATTTTTAATACTACTAACAATCGGAATTCAAAAAAGCCGTATATATATTTTA